TTTCTGCAATAAAACACACTAAAAAGAATCTATTTTCATTACAAATGTCTACAGCTGAAACACTTTTCATTGCATTTGGATACAGTAATGAGTCATGACTAAGCTGTTGGAAACTACCAGGTAGCTGAAACTTAAATATGAGCTGCACAAAAGCATGGCAAATTTAATTCACAAAAATCAAGATTACTTATATCAGGATAAATTCTTATATATAAAAGAAAAACACAGAAAATACATTTTAAAACTTGCCTTGTTCCTCTCAGCTTCAGTTCTATGAGCCGGAGGAACTGAAAGCTTGTTGCCATGGCGTCACTTGCCTGAGGTACATTAAAAAGTATCAGTAGCTGAAATGACTCACTGGATAACTGAATGAGCTGAGCGGTAGAAAATAAAGGAGAAAGAGCAAACGTAACAATGACACTGATGCATCACACTCATAGTAACTCCATTAAACCTGACAATCTGTTTAAAATGACGTTACAAAAACTTTTAGTAAAAGAACAATGTCAAAGTAAAAGGTAAAAGAGCTTCTTTATGCTTCATTGCTTGGTGTGTAATTGCTTTCTGAGCTTGTTTGTCTCTCGTGTGATTTGTCTCTCCCCCTGTCCAACACAAAACTCAAGCTGTTGTAAATCAGAGTATCAAAGCCACGCAGATCAGATGGAATATTTTAACACGGCTCTCCTCCTCGGCCAGCTGTTCTTCATTCGTTAGTGTGAGCCTTGGAGCAGCAGTGTGGCTGCTGTACGTTCTCCATCAACAGCCTGAACGGGTTTCTCCTGCGCCGGCTTGCTTTTCCGTCATGCTCCCCTTTCTTCCGCCCCCGGCGTTTACCAGAACCCCCACACCCTGCATCTGAAGGGAGGGGTGTTGCTGATGGGTTGAGTGGAGGTGGGGGAGGCATGGAGGACAGCTGCTTCTGTTTCTGCACCTGTTTCTCAAGGTGTTTCTGGATGGCAGTGCCCAGTACCGCTACTTCTACCACTGCACCGTACACATCCCAGGTCATCCCTTTCTCATCCCAGTTTACCTCCTGCACCGGCTCCTCGGACTTCTCCTCATCTGTTTCCGTACAGTTAATTGCTTCCTTTGTGTCCCCTTCCACACTCTCTTTCTGGGTTAATTTTTCCTCCTCTTTGAGTGCTTCCTTCTTGTGCTCTGTTACCTGTTCTCTCTGTTCCTCCTCTTTCTCCTCCAATATTTCCTCCTCAATGCTCTCCTCCTTCTTTATGTCAGGAAAAATCGTAGCTACTGGAGTTCTTGGAGTCATGGGTGCTGTAGCAATGGAGCGAAATTCTACCTGCTGACCCACCTGCAGCTCAGCATCTTTTGTTTCGGTGCCCGCTTCTCTACATTTCCCAAGAGAGCTAGGAAAGTAGAAGGCTTGGTCCCCTTCTGGAGGGGTCATCGGGCTTGTGGCCACGGACTGACAGTGCACCACCTCCAGGCTCACCTGTGTGCGGATGTTGTGGCAGCCAAAAGGAGCTGGGGATTCAGGGACAGGAGATTTTGGTATAGAAACATCTTTCAGCTCGTCTCGTGCAGCTTTGTGTGCCATGGCCTTTGAATCTTCAGCTTTGGTACAAATCTTCGCCCCCTCTGGTAGTTTGTGGTTCTGCTTTGGGCTTGATTTTTCCTGAGCATGATCAGGAGCTACTGTGGAGGCTGGTTCTTTTCTGTTCACACTCTTTATATTGCTGATGTCTTGTCCGCCTCCATCAGTTTCTTCTATTTTCACCATTTCAGGTTCCAGGGTCTGAAAATGTGACTCTGCTTTCTCTTCCCCTTCCTCCTGGTTGTTGCCATAGTGAGTCACTAAGATCGTGATATCTTGATCCATGCTCCCCATCCTCTGTTGTTTGCATTGCTGAGCATTGTCCTCAAAGGTTACCTTGGTGTTTGTTTTAGTCGTAGCCAGACCTATGGTGGAGCTACCCACAGATTTATTTGGACTCAAGCTTTCGGTCATCTCGTTTGACAAATCGCTTTTCAAAGTTCCATCTTTTGGTGACGTTTCTCCGGTACATTTGGTTGTTTTCAAACTCTTTTCTTGAAAACTCCTTTTTTCAACTAGCACTGGAAAAGCTGTGCTTGATGGTGTCTTTGGGGTCATGGGGGATGTGGCGACAGAGCAGAATTCCACTTGCTGACCCACTTGCAGTTCTGCATCCTTAGTGCCAGAAGTGGCAGCAGCTTGGTGTTTTCCAAAACTGCTCGGGAAGAAGAAGGAATGGTCTCCCTCTGGAGGGGTCATGGGGCTGGTAGCAGCGGAGCAGCACTGGACCACTTCTAGGCTCACCTGTGTACGCATGTGTTGCTGCCCAAAAGGGGCTGGAGAGCGTGGGTCAGAGGGGCCGGGAGTCGATGGCATACAAACAAAGATGTTCTCAGTATCTCTTCCTTTGCTGTTTCCAAGAGCCATGATTTTTCTATCAGCATCTCCATTATCCTGGATGTTTATAGAGATTGTGGCTTCGCTTTCTGTAGCTACAGGCAGCAGAGTCACAGGCTTTGCCTCAGCCTTTACAGAGTCCTTAACCGAGTCAGAGACTGCTGGGGCAGTGCTTTCACAATCAACTCCTGAAAGCTCTGGATCTTTGAATTCTCTGTGTTTCTCTGTGTTGACATCAGAGCCTGCATCTGTTTGGAGTTTAGACTGACGATCCTCTAAACTTGTTGACTCTTGACATGTGCGTAGGGGACTACCGTCAACCTCAGAGCCACTGTTGGAGCCTACAGAGAGTCCCTCATTATTTGTCTTCTCACAAGGCAGTTGGTCGTCCCTGAGACTTCGCTTCTCGTCCTTCAGGCTCCCCATTCTGTGTCTTAGGTAAGATGGTAGAATAACCTGCGGGGCATAAGATGGTACATACACAGTGTTTGTGCAAACTCTAACCAGAGACCAACCCACACATGAGTGGAAGAAAAAAACAACAACATCTTGCTTATTCTCTTTAAAAAAAATCCTATTCTGTAATTCATTGATTCATGTAATTACTGCGTCTACTTTATGAAAATGTAAGGGTTCTTTTAACACAAAAGATACTTTTTGTAAACTACGATTGTTCTGAAAATTCCTATGTGATTCAAACCAAGCCTTTCATCCTAAGAATAGATTCACATTCTGAATATCTCAATTCAATCATTAAGCACTACCAACCCTGCAAAGGAAATAAATTTAACCAACTAAAATCAAGGATTGACAAACCGTTAAAAATCCAATGCATAGACGTACCTCAGCAGCAAAGTCGGACCTCTCTGTCAGACTTCTTCAGAATTGGGTCAAACATGCCAGAAATCTCAGCCCCCTGACAGAGACCAACATCTGTCTGTGCATCTCCCCCCGGTATGATTGATTCTGTTTGCAACGACTTCAGGTTTGTCTCTAGAAGAATCTATCTTAGGCAATCCTCGCTCTTTTAGGCTGTAGCTCTGTCTATGGGAAAGAAAAAAAAGCCTCACATTTCCAGTTTCCCTGGAAACCAGCGTTGAGCTCTGGTAAGCGAGTGGTAATGTAATGACAAAATCTGTGCTGTGCTCTCTAATCATACATAAATCATTGTAATTAAGCACAGGTTCTCACCGCCACACAATGGAAAACAACAAGCAGACAGATAAACTTTTGATCTGGAAAATTACCTTTTAGTGGAGAATCACTTTGGAGAAACACGTGATAAACATCTTATGTCACAGGGATTAAGTGTGAGGGCCTGTATCGGGAGGGTAAAGCGTGTTAATGTGTTTTGAAATCAAACAGAAATCATAGTGATTTCTTTTTAATGCATTTAAAAATTACTGCCGAATTCCAGAAAATCAATCCCTCACACCAAGATTTGTGAGCAGCAAAATAAATCTTAGAGATGATGTTTCTCTGTAAACAAAAGACAAGGGAGAATTTCATCTTGAAGGAGCCTGGAGGAAGCAGAGCTGTGCCTCCCACACAGCAAACCACTTCTTAAAGCAAGGCTTTCATCCTGTTCACCCTGAAAACCTCTTTATAAAACATTGCTGGATAAACATCCCTTTGTATAATCATGATAAAGGGTATTTTATGTTAATTTGGCTCTATCGCTCTCTCCACTTACATCTGGCCTACACATATATATGTATACATGTATATATAAATATATAAAGCCAGGAAGGATATATAAAAATATCTGTCCTAGCTTTACCATTACTGTGAGCATGGCAGGAACAGCATGTACTGGCAGAAGGAGGCTCGCTCTCAATTCGAAGGCCTCAACCAATCACATACTGGCCCTGAGTTCTGTTGCCTAGCAACCACATAGTGTGATGGAGGGAGGCATGAGGCTGGGCGCTAAGGTAGACAAGCTCTGATCACACTCCCATCAGGAGCTATCGGCCCGTCAAAGGCCATCTCCTTACTGATTTGCCAGTAATGATGACTGTGGTGATTCATTGATGAGTGCTTTCAACAACGCACAACACGTTGCATCACGGAGACAACACTGGTACAGTTAGCAGCAGCATTAGCTCCACCGCTGCACTGTTAAAAATCAGATTTCATAATACTAAGAGAGACGATGTCTCCTGTTTATTTGACAAAAATACATGTACATATTCAAATGCATTATAAAGCATGAAAATATATGCGGAGAACTGGAGAAAAAGACATTTCCTAAAAATTTCTGGAGGAATGTTAAATTAGTGAAAAGCACTGCACATAAAATTCTTATCCCCACTCATTATTGGCTGCAGAAGAGCCATAGTAGATGACCAGCCAACCAGGCATTTAGCCTAAACAGTTTATTTGGTCTCCATTTTCTGTCCAAAATCCTTGATGGTGTCCGTGGCCTTGTTGGCAGCTTTTCCGATGGCGGTCTGAGTCTGCCTGCCGGCTTCTTGTGCAGCTGAAATGAATCCAAACATGAAAAAAAGGGGGAGAAAATAAGAAACATTGGAACAAAAGTTTAACAAATAATTCTAACAAATCAAAATATGTTTATTTTAGGCAACATGTGATTTAATTCCAACATTTCTGTTTAAAATAAAACCTGAATATACAGTATTTGGAACATATATATAAGCCTTCATGAATTATATTATGGCTTCAAACTTGAAACTGGATGGATATGTGATTTTTATTAATTTTCTAAATAAAAAATGTAAAAAGTACGGTGGCCCTGAAGTGCAAACTGCAACTACAAATCTAAAAGCGCAACTACATTAAGGAAAACACAATTACATTAACCTACCGGAAAAGGTAGGTACCAGTGGGAAACATGAGACATCGCTGATTGGACGACGGCGCCGTTTGACCCTTGAACCGGAAGTTGCGTCCTCTGAACAGTCCAGCTTCTTTTAAGTGTGTCTTCAGTGTACGCAAACTAACTGAAATTTTGTGATTAGTCTTGAGCATATCCAGTATCACCTCGTACGTTTGTCCTGATTGAAAACATTCCTGGATAACGGCCACTATGTTTGGGGCGCCGACAACATCCATGTTTTCGTAGTCCAATCAGCGATATCTCATGTTTCCCACTGGTACCTACCTTTTCTGGTAGGTTAAGGTAGGTTAATTGTGTTTTCCTTAATGTAGTTGCGCTTTGCTTTATGTAGTTTTGTTTTTCTTAATGTAGTTGCGCTTTTAGATTTGTAGTTGCAGTTTGCTCTTCAGGGCCACCGTAAAAAAGTGTTACATTCATCCTAAGCCCATTCCTTGCAGAATAAAATTTTAGTGCAATTTTGAATGTGCATCTTTTACATTTTATCCACCTACTAGAAAGAAATATTATTTGTTTTCATTTTTTAACATCTTTTTTGATTAAGAATACCTTTAAATATAAATCTACTAGTCTTCTTCTTCCAATAGGATTTAAATCTAGACTTTTATTAAATCCTATTCAAATTCTTTTAAAATAAACAATACTATCATTGCTCTGTGTGTCAGTTTAAGTTTGTTTTCCTGCAGAGGTGTAAACCTTTACCTCAGTTTAATGTATTTTCTTCTTGAACTGCCCTGTTGCTGCTGGACACAATCACAGCCCAGAGAATGATGTGCTACAGCGGGTTTTCACTCTAAATAAGGGTTATTTTAATAGATTTGTGTCCCGCCTCACATTTGTTGGCCACATTTTGCTCTCATCTGAACAGATCCTCCTCTCCTTCATGTTGTCTTGAGTAGTTTCTGTCCTGTTTCTCGGGACCCTCTGCTGAGCATGTGTTTCCCTGCTGCCACTTTTGATTCAAATAAATGGATGATCGACAGATTAGACGTCAATAAAACAGAGACATGTCCTAAAAATTAAGGAAATAAAAGAAAATAGCCTCTGATCACTGCTTCTCTTGCTCCTATTGTTAGTTTAGTCTGATGTTCGTGTCTCGTTATATTTTTTGTGGTGTCAAAATTGTGCCAATTAGATCATATATTGAACACAGCGCTATGAGATACTCGAAACTCAGGATATTGATTTATAACATAACGCACTTAATTTCTCCTTACCATAATCTCTGATATTTTCACTGTATAATTTTGCCTTTTTTAAGCTTATTTATTAATATAAGCAAAAAATAGTTGAAGTCTTATTGGAAAATTGTGTATAAATGTAAAGAACTGATGGTAAAGTTAGTTAGTATTTACTACCTAGTTCATACCTGAAGAAGTTAGGTGCCCTGGGTTGCATTTGTGCATATCTGAATAAATAAGCATTGAGATAAATGCATGCAACATTAATTAATTGTTTTAAGTAAAATTAGGGGGGGAAAAAGCATTTGTAATTTTCTATTTACTTCATAATTTATGAGCTACACTGTCCCTGAAATACGGTAAATAGAAAATTGTTGTAATCTATCAAACTGCAAGAAAAAAAGTGGGGTGTGAAGAACTTTGCATAACAACAAATTTAACTCTCAGTATTCAGAGATGCTTTTATCTCTGTACAAGTTCTAAAAAAACACTATAAACTTTTACTTGACTCTCCTGTGACTCACAGTAAGCCCATAAATGTTTTATCCTAATCCTAGATCTCTGTCATGTTTTTCAGTTAACCACATCACCCCTTTAAAGTAGACTATCTGCTAAACAAGGTTAGTGCAGAGAACAAGGTGAACTTTACCTGTGCTGACAGTTTCTTTGGAGGAGTCTGCCACCTGCTGCACAGCCTCCTGAGCTGCCTGCACTGAAAACATCACAACCTGTATCAGACATTCGCAGCGAAATGGGAAATTTCTGCTGTTTAAAACTTCAAATCTACACAGGATGTGATACTGTATCTTGTATTTCCCATCTAATAACACATGTTTTGATTTGCCACACTGCAAAAAAAAGTGAAATCTTAAATTATTTCTAAAAAAAGGTGCAATTTTCTTGAATTGAGGAGGTAAGTGAGAAACTTTGGCAATGGAAAAAGAACATTTACATTTAAAGTAAGAAAAAACAATTGCGTTGTCTTATTCCAAGTGCATATTATCCAATTATCTTATTTTAAGACTTAAAATACTCCACTGGCAAATTATCTTATTCACCTGCTCAAATTAAAGGTAAATACACTTTAAGATATTTTTTCTTGCCGATGAAGATTCTCAGTCATCCAGGTCATAGTCATTCCGTAAAAGTTTAAAAAAGAATCCACTGGACTTATTTTCCAAGGTTTGAAGACGTTTCGCTTCCCATCCAGGAGGCTTTCTCAGTTCAAGTGTCATTTAAATTGAGACATTTGAATTGAGAAAGCTTCCTGCATGAGAAGTGAAACGTCTTCAAACCTTGGAAAATAAGTCCATTGGATTGTTTTTTTTTTACTTTTACGGAAAAACTTTTTTCTTGTTTCTATATCGTTTTTGCAGTGCATCAGTAGAAGATAAAAGATCTAATAGTTTAATCTGTTGTTTTGGTATTGTACCTGCAGTGTCTGTGACTCCTTTTGCAGCTGAATGGCTCCCCGCTTTCAGGCTCTCAAAGGATTTCTTAAATGAAGCCATGGTTCCTGTGTTTGACTCTGCAGCTTCTCTGTCTGGTACAAGAGGGATGGAAGGGACTGTTTAAAAACAACCCCTCCACCCCAACCACACCTCATTTCAGGCCTAAGCCCGCTCGCTCCAGGCGGATTAACTGATATAAAACCCACTCAAATAGGCATAATCAAACTGGCATCCTAAGAATGGCGACATTCGTGCCAGAGGAGCTTCAGTCTACTCAGCGTTTTTTCCCCCCTATCTATTGAGCAAACCCCCAGACAGAACTGAGCAAAACATTTCATGATGGTGAACAATGACACAGACAGTCATTTTAAGCAGAGAAAAAAAGGAAATGCAATGAACACATTTGTTTTTCAAACTTTTTATTTACAGAGGATTTGTTGTCTGGCTTAACACAGAAAACCTTTATATTGACAAGACCTGCAATTTAAAGCACATATTGATATGACAACCATTATGTTTCCAAGACAGCTTATATTGACTTTAACTTGTTAAAATCTTGAGTACACAAACACACGCACGCACACAAACATGTACACTCTGTTGGTTTATAACAGACAGTTTAGTGGAATGATTTCACAAGTAACTATAAAGATACAATGTAAAAAACTCTTACTTTAAAAACAAGCCCATCTCCAAAAAAATGCAAAAAAAAGAAAGAAGAAGAAAAAAAAAACACAAACAGGCATTGTCGACATTTAAGAGGGTATTATTGTTCTCATATCTGCTTGCAACAGGTCATATTTACTTATTTATTGTTATGCTTTCACTCCCAATGTCTCATTGGAAGTTGATGAACATCTATTGCACATTTCTAGATACAGATACGCACAAATACAAAGTCACAAGTCCTGGCTCTTGTCTCATTTCATTGGGAGGGAATCAAGGAAATGAGACTGAGAGGACAAATTCTACATTAATAAATACCTACACCCAACACATTACATTAATAACATGACATTTACAATATATACTAATATTAAAAGATTTGTCTTGAAGGAAGAACATTTTTCACTGGGAATGCTTGCGTTTTTTCTTGGATTTTTTTTTGCAACAGGGATATAATTGTAATAGCTTCAGCATCTGTCCTTTTTATTGTTAGAAATGTTATTGTGCTGCTGGTTGTATGGTGATTCGGACTTCTGCATTTATGCTTCCGGATCGTAGTCCTGGCTCTCCTGGAGGAAAAGCAAAACAAGATGAGTGTAAGGCAGAGATGGCAAAAGTACTCACTTTCTCTACTTGAGTAAAAGTACAGATACTTGTGTTAAAAAAATACTCTGGTAAAAGTGGAAGTACTGATTAAACTTCTTTACTCAAGTAAAAGTAACAAAGTACAGGCTTGTAAATTTACTTAAAGTATA